GAAAAAGAATGGAGCTGTTTTCAATAAATTTAAATATTTTTTACTGTACTATTACCTTTTGTGCTAGTTTTGCTTTTTTAACTACTTTCATCTAATTTAAACTTTTGTTCGCTTCTATTTAGCTGATTTTAGCTTAGCTTTATGACCCTTTCTGGTATTATTTTGCTAATTTCAGCTTTTTAAGCTTCTTTCAGCTTCTTTCTGTTATTTTAAGCTTTTATGCTTTTTGCAGACACTTTCTGCTCGTTTAGCTGTTTTTATATTTTTAGCTACTTTTTGGCTAACTTGTGTTTAAATTCACCTTTTTGTGATAATTTCAACTTCTTACTACTCTGTTTCTTTTTGCTAATTGTAGTTAATTTTAGCACTATTTGGGCTACTTTTGGGTTTTCTTCTCAGCTATTAAACATACATTTTCAACATTAAGCATTCACACTGCATTTTYACAGGAAATGCAAATTCTCTAGTTTCGCTGCTATTTTCATGAGTGATGTTTGAGTTTGATATTTATTCACTGTCAGATTGTCTTTTTGTGACAAATTTTCTTTCCAAAAAAACCAATTGTTCCTGTTTTGGCATTGTCTGAAGACATCCTGTAGTTTTTAAATGTGTGATGATGATGGTTTGGCAGCTGAAACTCACTGATGACGAACACATTTGGCTTTTCATTCTCACTATGGCCTCATTTCCAACAATCATTGGGTTTTGAGGCACAAGTCGTTCTGCACACAGGTGTTTCAGCACTTACAGTTCCCAGTGAAATTCAGAAGAGGTTTTACATGAAAATGAAAAAAAAAAAACCTAATCATTCCAGACTTCCTGCAGAGATTACAGCCAGCTTCCAGGTGATAATGCAGGAAAAAAACCACCCCGTGTGCCCACGCTGTAGATTGTCTGGAACATTAACAGCAATCCTGTGGTTCTGTGTGGTGTTAACATGATTTGAGTGGAAACTGAAAATGCCTCTAAACAGTTCATATTCATAAACCTGAGCTGACTGAACAATTACAGAAACACACACAGTTAGAACGGACAGGATTCCACACAGGTGTTTATGTTGCTAATAGAGTTTAACGACAGTTTAACCTTTTTTATTATTGTCTTGCTTTTGTGCTCTTGTTTGCTGAAGCGGAGATTCACAAACAGTGCATTTAATAAAATGTTTGGTATGTTTGGTGCACCGTGTGCACACTCTGTCACTTTCTGTCTCTGCTCAGTCTCTGATCAGTTAATGACCTCCCTCTGCTTCTAGAACTGMATCCTCCCAGAGGAGCTCATATACCCTCCTCAAACTCTCACAGATACACCTCTCCAGAGAGGGGGCTTTGATTGGGTGGGAATTGAAGAAGTGAGAAAAAAGAAAAAAAATAGAGGCGCTCCTTCCCTCTATTTGCTCACTGTGACTCGCACTGATAGGGTGAAACAAGCCAAAAAGCCCCCAGCTGTAATTTGCTTCAGTTTCAAATGTTTGAGGGGGTTTTTTCCCTTGGGTTTTTTTTTTTTTT